ATCTATCCATCTATCTATCTATCTATCTATCTATCTATCTATCTATCTATCTATCTATCTATCTATCTATCTATCTATCAGCCATTGTTATTGCTTTGTATGATGCTTTGTTTGTATACTCTAATATTTAGGGTGAAAAGGGAAATATGGGTCCACCTGGTCCACCTGGAGATGTGAGTTTATCATAACTTTCTACTTTGTAATCCTTATTTGATATTTCTGCTGCCAGTATTTTCAGTGTGAATTATGCAAGCCAACATGATTGATCTAGCAAGCCAGACTGGCATGTGAATCTTTGTGATCTATTTAAAAAAAATAAATAAGTCGTGCAATTTTGCGCCAACGTGCCCCATGTGGTCGTGTTTACAGATATATGTCCCTGCGACGGAGCCACTCAAAGGATTCAGGGGAGATCCTGGTTCTCCAGGCCAACCTGGAAACCCTGGGTTTCGAGGTAGATGACTGTGATGCTCTAAAATAAACAGGCTTAGAGAGATGAAAGACAAACAGATCAGTACGGCAAAGCCTGGTGGCAATGCCGGCCATTGATTTGTAACCAACGCTATTGCAGTAGCAGTTGTTATGACTCTATAAAGTTATGTTGTCTGGACTGCTGCTGGCTTTTACAGACATAAATTACACAAGTTACTCGTCCGTCTTTTCTCAGGTGTTCAGGGATTTCCTGGACCTGATGGACCTCCAGGTGTGCAGCCATTCTTGTCCTATTAACGTATCTATGTATCACTAAGACTGTTCTTAACATTTGTACAGTATAAAGGTGAGATATACCTGAAATATATTGATCATAGTCTCTTCCTCACACAGGCCATGGATCTGGGATTTACGTGCCAGGCCCACCTGGTCGCAATGGCGCGCCAGGCCCTAAAGGGGACCCTGGAGAGGCAGGGGATACTTATCCTGGACAACCAGGTCTAGAAGGGGATCCTGGTGACCGAGGGCCTCAAGGAGAAACAGGCCCACAAGGACCTCCTGAAGACAGAAGTATGTGAATGTGTTATCCTTGCAAAAAGCAATCTAAACAAAATGACTTTTAGTGCTAATAATACATTATTATGAGATTTGAGTTCATCTTTCAGTAACACCGGTAGTGAAATATGCAGATTAACTTAACAGTTTTGTTTTGTATGATTTGTTATGTTGAATGTTTTCAGTTATGTACATGTTTCATTTTGTTATACTTCTGTAGGCTTTTACCATAAGGGACACCAGCAGACAATATAGTGTTCATGGGGTTTTTAAACGTTCTATTTTGTATTGTTTTCTGGTCATTTTTATTCCTCTATTTCATAGTGACAATGGAGAGAAACAGAAAGTGTGGGGGATGACATGTAGTAAATGGTCCCCTGCTGGGAATCGAACCAGTGACTCGCTGCTCAGGGCATTTTTGTCCATGTGGTGTGCACCCTCTAAACACACTCTTTGCTCTCTTTTGTCCTGTACAATGCCTGGCAGAGAGCATTGACTGTAAGGCTGCATATATGTTGTAAATATAATTAAATGCCATCTCAAAGTTTGCTGCTTTCTTCTCTTTTCTGACGTACCATAACTAAAGTGCCACGAGCAAAAAAATGTGACATTTTTGATTTGCATGGAAGCCTTTTCAGAGATTCTTTTATCGATGTCGTTCTACTTCTGTGCATACAGACAAAGGCTTTATGTGAGCAAAACTGTAATGGCTTAGCCCCTCATTTTAATAATATATTTAAACACTGAAATGTGCATATGTTCAGTCTATCAAGACAAATCACTTTAGCCTCATGGAGCTTCTCCTGTAAAGAAAAAAAAAATCAGCAGGAGCTTACTTCCTTATTTTTCTAAGACATCAGTGAGCTGTGGAGTTGCAGGATGTTTTCTCCTGTCTGTGATCATGAACACTACTTGTTTTTCTTTTTTCCAGATATTGAGCATGATTTTATGCAAGGCTTTTTTGTGTTTAACAAATGAGCCAGCATAGGATGCACTGGCATCAGTGTTGGATTCAAACTGAAACGTAGCTATACTGTTGTGTTGCTTGTAGGTAACAGGATTACCAAAGGTCTCCCAGGCATGAAGGGAATGAGAGGTATCCCTGGATTTATGGGATATGATGGAAGATTTGGAATGAAAGGTGGGAAGCTAAATGCCATTTTACACAGTGTGTATGTCTATATATGTAATCCATGTACATGTGTATTTATGTAATAAGTGGGACCTACAGAAAAAATAATAATTTCCTTGTTCCATGTACAGGCGAGAAGGGCGAGCCCTGTATTGAATGTGAGGGAGTAGGACCTCCAGGACCACCGGGTCCCCGTGGTACACCTGGAAGTCCTGGTAAAACCATTCACTGCATGCAAACATACACATTCTTCTCTGTCTGACTGATACATTCAAATGCACTTTTACTGGTAATAATGGAAACCATAAAACATTTAAAACTGGAATATGGACATGTTTTTGTCACTCAGGCTATAATGGGGGACCAGGTAACAAAGGTGATCCAGGGTTCCCAGGACCTCGAGGTCCACCTGGAAGCCCTGTAAGAAAGACTTACCTATGGTGGTTTTGTTTGTCTTTTTTATGTGTTTGTTTTTGTGAACACTTGTAAACAAAAGTTCCTCTCCAAAGGGTCCACTTGGTGATGCAGGATTTCAAGGCCCTCCAGGACAAAAGGGAGACTCATATTCCTACAACACTCCTGGAATAAGGGGTGACAAAGGAGAGCCAGGACAGCCTGGCTGGCGTGGTGCAGATGGGTTCCCTGGGTCTCCTGGAGCACCAGGTCGCAAAGGCATTAAAGGGCTTCCAGGAGATTCAGTGAGACTTTATTCTTTTTTGACAGACTTGAACATAAAATGCGTTCTTCATTTTATTTAAATTTCATGTTAGATTTAGGAGTCCTTTAGTTCTCATTCAAGTTTAGGATCCATCCAAGTAAGTAAAAAGCTGCAACAAGTTCTCTGTCCACGATCTAGTATCCCTTCACTGGGGCTGACGGAGACCCTGGATTCCCAGGCCAGCCAGGGCCTTCAGGCAGACCAGGACCAGTCGGCTACCCTGGGTCAGGGGGATATGCGCCTCCTGGACTTACAGGAAGTAAAGGAGATATTGGGGTGACTGGCCTGCCAGGACAGCCGGGAATTCCAGGTGAAGAAACACACTGATCAATAAACAGTTCAACAGAATACATAAATACACAAAATGAATGGACAGAAATTGTACGTCATATCCTTTTTTCCTCCTTTATGTGCAGGCCAAAAAGGGGAACCTGGCCACATCCACAGCAGAGGATTTCCTGGACCACCTGGATTTAAAGGTCGGCCTGGTTCACTAGGAAGCCCGGGTGAGCACAGATGGATTGTTTACCAGATGGATGGCTGGAGGGACGGAGGGACGATCATTAAGATCCAATATAATAGAAGATAGAAACACCTCTCATGTTTATCAACAAACATCCAGGTTATCAAGGGACACCAGGTTCTCCAGGATCACCAGGTTATTCAGGACAGAAAGGCGAAAGAGGCAGCGTGTCAGTTCCTGGAGCGCCGGGGTTACAAGGAAGGAAAGGTAATCCACTGAGGTTATGCAAAAAACATTCATATCACATTTACACCCTGAAAATTTCAAGATTCCTAGATCATCAGATGTATCATCAGGATGTACGAGTTTGGATGTTTGCCTGATGCCTCCATAAAGGAATGGGGTACTGCTCAAAGTATTGTCAGTGTACAGTGTCATTCATGTTTTTACTGCTCCACTGTGTGTTTATGGTTTAGGTGACAAGGGGCAGCCAGGATCCCCAGGCCCTCCAACTAGAGGTTTTCCAGGTCAGCCTGGGTCACCAGGCTTTCCTGGTCCTCCAGGACAGAAGGTCAGAGGCGTCAAAGAGAATATGTAAATTTGTTGGGTTTTTCATGAAGTTTTGTCAGGTTCAATTTCAAATTACTCTGAAAAATCTCGATAATTAATGATACTGTAGGGTCTTAGGGTTAGGGTTATGTGTGTTTTCGGTTTCACATTTCAGAAATCTCACTGGAGCATTTTGCCTTCGTATTTAAACTTAATTGGTAAATCTACAATGCAAATCTTATTTCTCAACTTGAAACCAATTTGGCTCAATGTCTGGTGTTTGAAATATGCTATGTTATAACAGTGACTTGATTTGACCTGACGAACACGGTTTTCTAGATATATAGCAAACTATACAGTAGTAAACATCTACATGTAGAACATACTGTATACAACTAAGACTGTGTAGCAATTTAAAAAAACAGCACACATTTGTCCCTAAAATGGTATCGTTGCTTCCGTAATGTGTTGTAATTTCTTTGTGGTGGAAGATTAGACTGTGAGAGGCAAATCTAAAAGGAATGGGTCAACAGTTTAGGAAAGAGGCTTTTCTGCTTTCTTGCAGAGTATCAAAAGAGATGAATAATGCCACTGTCTCCAAGTGGGAAATATGGAGCTCCAGTCAGCCACAAGTTATGTTAAGAACTGAAAAACAGCTACTGCAGCCTGTCTTTGTCCAGCGGTAACACAATCTGACTACCAGCACTTCCAAAGTCTTGTCATCGTTGTGAGGTTGCCTGGCAACCAGCAGAAGTCAGCCAGAGTGCTTACATGCTCATTAGTGTCACAGTTTTGAGGCCTGTCCAGGTTTTGATCATATTTAAGACATGGCATTTTCATGGAGCATGAGAAACCTGGTTGCTCATTACTTGTGTACAAGGTCATTACAGTATACAGGTTTCTGATCATCCGTAGATATCTGTGTCTCCTGCATGTACTTCACCACAAGATGATTTTCAGAAACCCAGAGAAGGTGTTCCCATGTCACAGAATCCTGATTTCTGCTGGAGGTTCCAACAAACAACCAGGATATCCTAAAAATCTGATCATTAAACCACAACTCGATGTTGTTACACTTTTTTGTACATCTTAATCACAAAAATTGTGCATTAGTGGGCTGCTGAGATGCTGGTGGACAGATTTTATTTGAACCCTCGGACAGAGCTATTTTTAGTTTTCTCATCTGGTCTTTGTGCTAATCTAAACTGAGATGCTGCTGCCTGTAGCGTTGTAATTATCCTGCAGAAACACGAGTGGTATTAATATTTTTGTCTAATCTAAAGTATAACCCAGCGGGCTATCGGTTGTGGAAAGGAAAGCAATTTGGCTTCAGAGGGAAAATAGATAAAGATGCACTGTTTTAAGTGATGAGTGTCCGTTTGTTTGGTTCTCTAAAATACATTTCTTTGGACCACTTTTTACTGTCATAAGCTATAGAGGAAGAATAACAAAATTTTAGAAACTGAAATGAATTGAACTCAGTGGAGAATCATAAGGATTCATTTGCACAAATATCTGCCAGTGACCTTTAGATTCCAATGCCTCTGTGTATTTAAAGGTATTGTAAGCTTACATTGCGTCTCACAATATAGTTTCACACGGAGAGCACAGTGACATATGTGAATTTAAAGATATGTATGTTTTGATTATCAGGGTGACGGTGGTCCCGGATACTTTGGCCCTCCAGGTCCCCAGGGGCGTCCAGGTGAAGCTGGAGATCCTGGGCCGGTTGGTAATCCCGGGTTCCCTGGCCAACCCGGAAATCCGGGACCAGGGGGGAGTCCAGGGTATCAGGGAGAAAAAGGTACTCGTGTACCAACTATAATTCTGTACCTCTGAGCCAGACAGATAGATATAATATATGAAACCATGCATGGGTGATCCATTCATGTGAATTCATGTTTAGACAAATATTTGTTCATCTCGTTACTGCATTATTTTTATGCTTCATGTAGGAAGAAAAGGTCCTGTAGGCGTCCCAGGACCGGCTGGTATCAAAGATTCATGTAAAGGTGGTATACCTGGACCACAGGGACCACCGGGACCAGATGGTTATCCAGGACAACCCGGTCAGTGTATACTGAAATCATGTGATGTACTTTACTGTCAGCCCTAGAAGGACAATGATTGTAGAAGGTGAAAGACAAAAGAAGGTGAAAAGTTGGCTATTATCCTCCCTTTAATTCAATACAGCTGAACAAATGTAAACAATTTATAATATATAAATATATAATATATAAAGAATCAATGCTTTTCTCTCCACCTTGTCCTCTGCTCCCCACATTGATTTTGTTCTTTTACTCCCCTCCAAGGATCTAATGGCTTGACTGGTGAGAAGGGAAATGCAGGTTCGCCTGGGTTTGGTCGTCCTGGAGCTCCTGGTGAGCCTGGTATTCCTGGACCACCGGTGCCGGGTCCGAGTGGGCCTCCTGGTCCAACGGGGATTAAAGGACAAGTCGGTTTACCTGGGCGATCAGGTATAGCACTATTTCCCTGAAAGGTCTAAACACTCATTAAATGATGATCAGTTCTTCATTAGTTAATAAATGTGACGTCAGTTTTAGTACTAACTGCTACGACCATGGAAACGCTGTCCAATAAGAAAATGTCCAGATTACTTTAAAGAAATAATGACAGTGTCCAGAGTCTGGAATTACACAACATATTTATATTTATTAAAGCTTGTCTTTAACCAATAAAACCCTGATGCAGCACATACGTGCACCTGCACATGTGTTTGGATCACAGCTTGGATTCTAAGCTTTCCTCTTTGGTTTTGTTAGGACCGAGAGGGGACCCTGGACCAGATGGGTTATCAGGATATGGACCAGAAGGGTTGCCTGGAAGTAGAGGGCCACCTGGTCAAATAGGTACCACACACATACACACACCTTCAGTGCTATGTTATATATTTGCACCTTAAATGAGTTATTTGTTGATCCAACTGCTCTACATTCCTTAAATTGCCCCCAGGGACAAATACAGTTTTCTGAATTTAATTAAATTGAATTGAAGTACTATGTGTGGTTCACTGCTGTGAGGAAGTTAACCCCTCAACCCCCCAACTGTTTACAGGTGACCCAGGCCCACATGGAAACAGTGGTCCTCCAGGTTTTCAAGGCATTAAAGGGACCAAAGGCTTCAAAGGTCCTCAAGGGTATCCATCACCACCACTAAACTTTACTGGACGCGCAGGGGAACCTGGTGGGCCAGGTACACTTCAGTCTTCTTGTAAAAATATAATTTCACTCTTTGAGAGTGAGTCATTTAAAAAAAAAAAAAAACTTTAAGAGACCTTTTTCTTTGAAAAAAAAAAGTCCATATTAGATTTTGTTAGGACCTGTCATTGCCAGAGTGCTATGTGTAACTTTACCTTTAACTGTATTGTGCAAGGTTACCCTGGTCTAGCTGGTCCCCCTGGAGATCCTGGATACACTGGACCAAAAGGGCAGCAAGGAAAAGGGGGAATACCCGGGGGTCCTGGACAAAGAGGTTTAAAATTAGTTTCACAACGTAGTAGGCAGATGGCACAAAAACAGCTTTCTAATCTATATTTGTGCCATGTGTTTATTTATGTCCAGGTCCTCCAGGTGATCCTGGTATTGATGGATCAGTGGTCACACCGGGAAATCCAGGACCTGCTGGAGCCCCAGGAGATCAAGGACCGAGAGGCCCTCCAGGTAAGACCTGCACCTCAGTTCAAGGCCAGGCGTGCTTATTATCCATCCATTATCCATCCATTATCTATACACCGGGGTCGCGGGGGGCTGGAGCCTATCCCAGCTGACATAGGGTGTACTTATTAATATCATACAAATTTACCTCCAGTGTGTTTTGGTCCCTGTTTTCTTGGATGTTTGACCTTCACTTTGCAGAATGATGCGTGTTCTTATTTATTTATTTGGAAGTTTAGGGATAGTTTGCCTGACTTCTACATTCAGTTTAAGGCATATGAGGAGAAACAGATGGAACTTGATTTACACATGAATCAGGATTCTTATCTTGTCCAATTCTGAATCCATTAACAAATTCCACAAATCAATTTTTGTAATAAATTTAGTTTGCTAATGGGACGAAAAAGGTGGAGCTGAACCATGAGGTCACAGTGAAGCACCCAGACAGGGAGCAGCTTGCACACACTGGAGTCATCTTGTAGCTCCACAAAAGGCAAACACGTTGGCGCTCTTCTTCATTTAATGACATGATAATTAGCTTTTCAAGTCAAAGCAAAGATTAACTATTTTTTGAATACAACACCACAGAATAATGGAGCAGAGCACTAAAGAAGCTTCTTAAATGACACTAACTTCTGCTTTTACAAAAACAAAAATATTCCACCGGTAATATCAGTGAGTAAAGTTACATTTTTAGTGTATAGTTTTCAAACAAGGCATCAGTTGCATCCAAGATAACACAAATGTTTTTTAAAAAGCCATCACGTCTTTCTGTGCTTTTTCTTTGTTAGTCAGACATCGACCTTCATCAAAACCAGTTACCTTCGCTGTCAGTCATGTTTCATTTGCAGCTCAGCACGCAAAGGACAAGAGTCAATGGACTGCTACTTTGTAAACTGGAGTAACAACCAAAATTGCCCCCTTCTCTTTATTAACACAAGAATAGATTCTAAATTGATCTGTTACACCCAGAGTCAGGATTGAATCGTGACATTGCCAAAGACTTTTACCCATTTACCCCAGTGTGATTTCAAAACTTCAGAAAAAAGTTTTTCAATGATGGAGAAGACACCTTGTATCCAGTAGGTACACTTTTGAAGTTAAAAAAAAAATGTAATAAAGTAATAAGATTTTTTTTTTTTTCTTATGGAAAAATCAGTTCAGACATAAATTCTTCTTCAAAGCAGTGTGGATTATATTTTCCATCTTCAAATGTTAATGAAGGGCATCTGTAAAGTATTGTAGTCGGTAGAACGGTCTTTAAAAAAACATATTCTTACTTTAAAAACCGGTTTGGTTTAATGTTCCCAGGGTACAAGGGAATTAAAGGAGATCCCGGATTCCCTGGAGGTCCAGGTCCAAATGGTGCTCCAGGGTCACCGGGTTACAAAGGAGCTGCTGGAGAACCAAACTACTATGGTTATGGCCCACCTGGGCCAAAAGGACAAAAAGTAGTCATGGCTAAAATACTAAAATATGTATAAATTTAAAAACATATGTGTTTATCAACAATAGGGATTGTCTGTCTCTCTTGAGCTCTGTCTATTTCCTTTTCCTGTCTACAGGGTGAACCAGGATTACCTAGTACTTTTGTGAGGAAGGGGTACAAAGGAGAACCTGGTACTGGAGGTCCACTAGGTCTACCAGGAAATCGTGGAGCCAAAGGACACCCAGGACCCCCTGGAGCAAATGGTAACTACAACAGATAATGAAAATTGCGCAGTTTGGGATGGAATGCATCTTTTTTTGGTTTGGTTTGGTTTGGTTTGGTTTTGTTTTCTCTACTTAACTTTTGCTGCTGTTCCAGGTTCCCCAGGCTATCAAGGGCCAAAAGGTTCAGATGGCCCTCCAGGAGGCAAAGGACGTAGAGGACCTGTTGGACCTGCAGGCAAAGTGTTTTTGTTGTATAAAATATAAAGAGACGTCTAATCGGTTGAAGCATATTTTTAAAGGTGCTACCTATTGTGTTGCTGCAGGAAAGACTTTAGATGTTTTAGTTTATTTTTTATACTTTTGATATTGTTTTTGCCTCAGGTAACCCGGGTCTGTCAGGTGGCGGGGGTTATCCAGGTCCTAAAGGCAACCAGGGCCGTGATGGGATCCCTGGACCACCAGGGCAGAAAGGGGACACGAGTAAGACAAATCCTGCACAAGTATTCTTAGAATGTTCTTTTTTTTTCTTACTGAACCAAAAGAGGCCTGGACAACAGTCATCTCTGTCACAACTAATGGTATTCTCAAAGTTATGCCTGCAGCCAAAACTCACCTATCATCCTTCTCTCCTCTGCAGTCATAACATCAGGGACACCTGGGAGGCGCGGTAACCCAGGTCCATCAGGTGAGTCACAGGAGGATGACAATGTCCTTTCAAAAAAAAAAAGTCACCTTTACACTTGGGTCATTCTGGAGAATGCTCTGCTCCCAGAGGGGTTCGCCTGTTCTTTCTAAAGATCTGCCCAGTTACAAAATATGTTTCTTCAACTATGGAGTGCTCCAGAGAAGCAGTCTTGGTAAACCTCAGAAAAATGGCCTAGAGTTTGAACTCAACTAGACCCTTCTGATTTCTATCATGTGCGCATCAGCTATACAAGCAATATGCTCCACATGCTATAAGTCAAATAATGAGATTAGTTCAAAATATCACGTGAATTGTGTCTTTTTATGTTGCCTCTGTAATGACTTGTAAATATAATACTCAAAGTGGCATCTCATACATTGATGCATTTGTACACAATATCAATTTGAGACACTTTCATGTATGCATTGTTTTGGACTGAAGTGTCTCTCAATTTAAAAAAAATAAAACTGTATTTCTACTCCTGAATGTTCTCTCTGTACCGTAGGTGCTCCTGGGGACACTGGTCCTCCTGGCCCTCCTGCTCCAGGTAGCCCTGGACCAATAGGGGACAGAGGACGTCCAGGTTCACCTGGTAACTTGGGTCCAAGAGGGCCACCAGGAAGAGATGGGCCATGTCTTGCTGGGTCTAAAGGAGATCGTGGCCACCCCGGCAACCCAGGAAACAGAGGTAAGATCGCACATCCATTTTTCTGCAAGTCATGAAGTCCCCAATCTCAGGACGCATTGGATAAACTGTAGTTAATGAGATTTTGACATGTATCTTTCTTCTGATCTTTTTGGTCCAAAGTATATTTTAATATATTGTATAATCCCATATGGACATGTTAGCTTTACACCTACTGTTCAAGGCCACTGATGCTCATCCGTGGAAATATTTGTATAATTTAGTTTACGTTTGTGATCTTATCATGTCATACATTTCTTGCATTTTGATGTTATAAAAGTACAGTCCAGTGGTACTTTACTTCAATCATCAATCTTTGTCTAATTTCACTGTAGGCTATCCTGGCCCACGTGGCCCTCCAGGTCCCACAGTGTCTGGTTTAAAAGGAGACAGAGGAGACCCAGGGTTTTCAGGGAGTCCAGGTTATGGTGGGGAATCTGGAGATCCAGGCGCTCAAGGACCACCTGTAAGTGCTTACAGCATTTATTTTATGAGGAAGGAGAAATCAAAGTTCAGGTCCAGTGTTTTGCATTCATCTTTGTATTTTATTATTGAGGTGCAATTTTCTTTTCAAGTCAAGGTTTTTCAAACAAACTGACACGACAAAATGCCAGCATGTGCGCTGGCAGAACACACTAAAGATGACTAAATTCTTCTTCTTTTTGTTTTCTATCGGCATTACCTGCATCTCACACTGAAGTTCTAAAATTTTCTTCATAACTGTACTGAGTGCAAAGTCTTCAAAGACTCACAGCAATACTTCAAGTCTAATCTTTGACCTTTCATTGTTCAATGTGTCTCCCCAGGGGCCCGGAGGCAGACGTGGAGACCCTGGACCAAAAGGGGATCCTGGTCCTCCTGGGTACCAAGGGCCCTTTGGTAATCTATCATCTCAACTTCAGCCTATAGATTTTCTTTGACTCCTTGCATTCCTACAGCAGATAAAGTACGTTCTGTCACCCCGAAAAAAAATAATAGTCCACAACTTATTTAGGTGCCCGAAACAGAGATGGAACGCAAAATGAGAAATTTACGGAGACAAAGACAAACAAGACTAATGAGGATTAATATAAGCTGGCATTTCCACAACAGAATGTGAAAACAAACAAATTTCCCTGTAATCTTTTGACTTGTGTTTCAGGTTACAAGGGAGACCCTGGATACAACCCAGGCCCACCTGGTGCTCCTGGAACCAAAGGTTTTCCTGGACGACCAGGTGTGGTAAAAGCTTGTTTAGCTGATAAATAATTCTGACCATGGGTATTCTATATTTTGGGGAAAAAAAACTTTCTAATTGCTCTTGCTGTGTACCTACAGGTCGTAAAGGTGAAGCAACAGTTGGCAGAGCGATATATGAACCAGGACCTGCTGGCTTACCTGGTCCTCCAGGCAATCGAGGACCCCCAGGGAGCACCGGTTCCTCAGGACCACCAGGCCCCCATGGTTCAATATTTTATTAGTTACTTCATGAATCAAAACCAAGGCTATTTAATGTTGCCATAAATTGCATGCATAGTGTGAATATTGTGTCCACCAAGCTAGTTTTCTCTACAGCTACCACACCTGTAATAAACTCCTCTGTTCCAGGCCCGCCAGGTGTCAAAGGAGCGCAGGGTTCCAGCCCACCTGGCCAGCCTGGATTTACTGGCCGCAAAGGAGACAAAGGAAGAGCAGGACTGCAAGGTGTGTTCATGTGTGTCGGTGGAAGCCTGTGTAGGATGCACAGGATCAGTGTTGTGGCAAAACGCTTGAGAGAAAATGAGCTCTCTCAAGTCCAGGTTCAGCTATCTGCAGCAGCACCTGTACTGGTTTTGAATTACACTGTGTGGATGATAGCTAGAGAGAAAACACAGTTTGCCCTCACAGTGAAGTTTCCTTGCCAGAAGATATAAAAAGCAAAAACACCCAAAAACATTCTCATGATATCCCTCAGTACTTCACTGTACATTTTCTTCCTCACTCTGCAGGTCCAGAGGGCAGACCTGGAAGCCCAGGCAACAAGGGTCCAAGAGGTTTGCCCGGCAGAGGTGTTACAGGTTACGTGGACACTTTCATGATTGTCAGACACAGTCAGAGCATCCGGGTCCCCGACTGTCCTCACGGCACCAGCCTCATTTACAGCGGTTACTCCTTCCTCTTCGTCAATGGAAATGAGAGAGCTCACGGCCAGGACCTTGGTAGGCTCATGGAAACTTTCATAATCAGAAAATCCATCTTTGCTTGGATCACGATATGACGTATTTCTAACATTTCACTCTGTCCTTCAGGCACCACAGGAAGCTGCCTGCCTCGTTTCACCACCATGCCCTTCCTGTTCTGCGACACAGAAAACACCTGCCGCTATGCTTCTCGTAATGACTATTCATACTGGTTGTCCACTGACACGCCTATGCCCGCAAACATGGTTTCCATCACGGGGGACAGGCTGGCCTCGTACATTAGCAGGTGAGACAAGAGTGTGCACACATTTGCTCACTTTTTTTTCCTGTTCTTCTGTTCATTGAAAAGTTAAATTGTTGGATTTTACAGACATCTTACTAAACATGAATGTCTGTGTATATCTACAATTTAGGTGTTCAGTGTGTGAAACCACTTCCAACGTCATAGCCATCCACAGCCAGACAACCCAGATACCACAGTGTCCCAGCAGCTGGGAATCCTTATGGACTGGTTACTCATTCGTCATGGTAAAGAAACCGGTGTTTTGTTTTGCCTGAATTCCTGGATCTCATCACACGCCATTTTCCCGTCTCATTTTTTTTCTTCCTTTCGTCTTCGTGTATTCTAGCAAACAGGTGCTGGAGCAGAAGGATCCTCCCAGCCCCTTGTTTCTCCTGGCTCATGCCTGGAAAATTTCCGCCAAGTGCCCTTTATCGAGTGCCACGGCAGGGGGACGTGCAACTACTACCCCGACTCCTATAGCTACTGGCTGGCCTCCCTCGACCCTAACAACATGTTCAGGTAGACCTCTCTGTTGAAGCAGTGCTGGATGTCCCTGCTGCACAGTTTGAATCGAATCTTGGAGGAAATCTTCTCGTATTATTCGTTCTGTTGTGTAACGTTATCTGATAGTCACAGCGGAGGCTTTCCTGCCTTATGAACAAGAGCTTAGGTGATTTTTAATTAAGCCAGTATACGGCAGTAAATCAAAACTGTGCTGGATTTATTTGTTTGTTTGTTTTTTATTGTTACACATCTAATATATGTGTGTTTTATCCTCTGCTGCAGTAAACCGGTTTCTCAGACAGTGAAGGGAACTTTTCAAGAAACCATCATCAGCCGATGTCGAGTCTGCAGAAAACCATGGCAACACAGCACGGGCGAAAGACGCGGGGACACTTTTTAACAATAAGTATGTGGCGTCATTTGAAGTATAAAATGTGAGAAATGTGAGACAAAGCAGTATAGGTAGTGTGTGTGTGTGTGTGTTGTGTGTTTTTTTAAACTACTGTGTACATGCTATAAATCTGTGTTTATGAGTCTTCAACCATCATCTTTAACGGCAGTTGTTTTAAAAGCTCTGATGATCATGTGCATTACTCAAAGTCATTATATTTTACAGCTGTCGAGCGCCACAAGTGTGTAATTATTCGAGTGTTGCAAAGTGTTTTCCTCTACAGAGATACATGTTCTATTTTAAATCCTCCTCTCTGTCTTTTTCTTCCCTTTTTCCTGTTTCTCTTTCTCACTTCATTGTGTTAATAAAACAACCGAGTGACATGTTGAATCGAAGGCGTCTGTTACCGAGACAGATCTAAAGTGTGACAGTATATACCTTACCTGATAAAAACACAACACCTACGCTGCCAATATTGCATTTTCCTATTTAACACCAAAAGGTGTTGTTGTGTATTTTCTTTTCTTTTTATCCAAATGTCCTTATTAGCGCAAACCACAGCCAGCCTACTGAGAAGTAAACTAACCCACCACATCACTGTATTTCGGTGCATCTGAGAAAACTGGTGCAGTCCTGCTGGTGAACGATGTCATAATAGATAAAGCTCGTGCTCCTATGACACCTGGATGTTGTAGATGTGATGCTTGCTTTGGAATCGTTTTCAGACACCAACATGCAGGCATTTGCACCCTCACCCTGAAAGCAGTTGTTTGGATTCCAGTATGTGAAATGGTGCATGGAAAAGATTAAATTTCATGACTCACATTGCCTGCAACTTTTTCCAATCCATTTCTAAATGTGCTGTCGGAGGAGGGGGGGGGGGAGCAACACTGCAATCAAAACGCTGCCGTCTCTGTGGCTTTGGGACAAAAATAAATAAATGCACATTGAGATCTTAAGAGGAAATATTTCATGCTGTTTTTTTTCTATTTGGATTTTCAATTAGTTGGAAATATATTAACATAAAATAGAAATAATTGTTATTTTCATGGTGTCTTAATTTGCTCATTCATTCCAAATGCGACTGGTAGTTGTTTTGTTTTTTTTTCAAAAGCTAAACATAGCACATCATTTTCATTTTCCAATCTGACCCTCCACGCTCTTGTGATTTCGACATCTTATTTCTCTGCTCGCTCTGAAAACTAGCGGCGGAGTAATATGCCCCCGAGGAGCAGTCATTCAAGCTCGCTCACCCTTATCTGTCACCATCATCAACGACAGGTATAATGATGCCCTTAAACAACGCCGTGTTCAAAATACTGCTGCTTTTCGGATATTCCAACATATTGATTGCTCCGAGTCAGAAATAACAAACAGCCTCATGTGGTTACGTAAGAAACCCAGTTAGCACGAGTCGGAGCCGGAGCGGAGCTGAGCCCTCCTGTGTGAATTAAAAACCTGTGATGATGTAATGCTGATTAATCTAATTAATTTTTTGGCGGAGGGAGGGAGGGGGGGATATTTTTGGAACAAAATCTCAGCTTATGAAAACTGCAATTCCAAACACATGTGAAAGTCCAGATATAAGGAGCAGACGGCGCTTGAATGACACCTTGAATTATCCAAATCTTACATGGCCCGGTGCAGACAGTTGTCAGGGTGTATAGAAACACTCTTGCTGTAAAGTGCTCTCTGTAGCCTTCTTAACAGGATTATTCTGCTCCCGACAGTGCACTTACTAATTGTTTAGGCAGCTATATCAGGCTTCTACACCTCTATAACTGGGTTAGAATGGCGACTTGTTGAAAGGTTGATGCACCTCAAGGTTGTCTCCCGCTTGAGAAGGACACATCCTGACGTTTCTGCACATTCCCTCACATGGGCTGGAAGATTTATTTTTAGTCATATGTTGAGGAGTAAATACTCATGGGGATGCACAAAAATATTTACTGGTATTGACAGATTTTAAATGCTTTTTTAAAAAATAATGGTGGTTTAGGTTGAGCATTTGGAATAAATGTTGCTGCTGGTAGCAATGTGAGAAGCAAGAGACCACATCTACATGAATTTTTCAGTTTGCATTCACATAAAATCTACAATTTAGTATTTTAGAAAAACATTTTCACCAAATTTATCTTTGCATTAGATTTAGCTAAATAAAAACCCTCATAACCCTTGCAAAATAAATTTCCACGTGCATATTGAAAGCATGTCGCACTGCAAAAATCATTACAGCCTCGGTGACACAGACACCTTAATTCAGATGCAATAGAACTGTAAAGTTAAACAGAGCAGAAATCTCATTAAAGAGATCCACAGAATCTGCTCACCGGGGAGCAACAAATGATAAAAATGACCTTTTATGGCCCCTGGATGCCCCAGAGCTTCTGCACAGCCGCTGATTCAACTTTTCCGGCACGGCAGGGTTAATGAAATCACTGTTTCCACCATGTCAGTGTTGTTAATGTTTTATTTTACATGAGTGCACATAGCACTTGATTTACGCTGATTTGTTTCAAGACGCCTCCTTCAAACAAGAGGGCATTTAAAAGTAACGCCCGTGACGAAAACAAAGGATGACCTTCACTTATACAACCAAATTGCAGCGCGTTTATGCATGTGATGACACTAAGGAAGACCAGGATGGCGAAAATGTCCTTATTTAGACCCTTTGTCTCATTGCTAATGACTGCTATAAATTACAGACTACATGCATCGGTGCACTGATGGGGGCCAACACAAAACCGAGGATGGTCCTGACGCAGACAACCTGCACGCTCCTCCTCCCTTATTGGGCTGAAGCACTACTTATAAAACAGATGTCCCACAGTGGTTTGGATTTAAGGTGCACATCAGTCAAAAAAAAAAAACACTTTCAAGGAGAAGAAACAAAGATTTTCAAATCAAGATGGCCCGTGTGTTGTGCATTTGGGTTTTTCTGTGCTTTGCGTCGTGTGTTTCGGCAAATACAAATACTGAGGAAGGATTTGGAAAACTGCAATCTCAGCAAGATCCGTTGTCCTGGCTCGACGACTTACAAGACGGACAGGTGAGATGTCGTATGTTTCTTCTGTGTGTAAAATTTGTAGCTGCACCTCCGTGAAATTGCAGGTTATACAATCAAATGCATTTCCTGTTTTACTCTATGAGTAGTAAAAGGAAAAATTCTGAGTAATTCCTGCAGATAAACTGATCTACAGTTTGTAATGTCGTCCCATTGGACTTCTACACAGACTTGGTGGTGCTCAATGTGACATTTACTGATATTGAAGAGTCTGTAAATGTTAAGAATTCACTTTGTTTTTTCCTACAGGCCACAACAAAGAAACAGAACCTACTAGACTTGTTCTACAAACTCTTCAGATCTGAGAATGAAATTATCCTCCGAGAACCCGAAGAGACGCAGAAGAATCGACGTGGAGTGGGCAGCGGCTCCAGAGCTGCCACTCGCAGGCCCGGCTGCTTGGTCTTCTTCTGGAAATCCTGGGCTAACTGCTAACTTCTCACCCACTGAAGTGCCAGTGATCATAAAACGAATCCTCTCAGTTTCTTTTTATAGCTAGGATGTAGTTTGGCAAAGTTTTTAATTTATTGCTGATTTGCAGTCCCGAAAGAAAACACGGACCTCGTGCTGTTGTAGGCCGGAGAAAACAGGATTTTGTCAGATCCATTCCGGCAGATCTCTGTGTTTGGTTATTTCATGCTGATTTCTATGGTCTCATGCCGCGATAATTCCCAAAGAGATGATACAGAACTATCTAATAAGTTTCCTCCAGTACAAGGTTTACACCTACAAAGTGGGCTCTGAAAATAAAAAATATACTAAAATCTATTTTTTGTGGACAATTATTATTATTATAGTTAAATTATTGTGTAATTCCAGTCGGATTGTTCTGTGTTTTCATGCAGATATTTGGTTGGATTCATGGTGGACACGTACAGATAAACTGCTGCATTTGTGGGTTGAGACATAAAGACAGTTGTGTTGGTCTCAGTGCAGCAGCTTCTTTTCTCACTTTGAGTCTGTTTAACAGATCAGACTCAATGCTGACTCATTTAGACTCTCAAGATTCAATGCAAATATTTAGAATAACTGTCTTATAGAATAAAAAGCACCAAGACTAGCTACAGTGTAAAATAATCCAAAACAAATCCAACATTATGAAATGCTAGAAGTCTGTGAAGCCTCATAAAAGCAATGAATTGTCAAAAACTTGTACTCAATAAAAATATGTAAAACTTCATCATTTGAGAGAGAATAAGACTTGAAAAATGTAATTTACCTCTAAAGTCAGAGTAGGAGCAGGGATCGACCAATTGGTTTTCTTTCGATAATCGATATTTGGAAGTTATTTGTTGACAGCATGTGATAGCAGAGAACCTGTCATTCATTACTAGATTACTTCATTTTTCAGGATTACTATTACTGAACATGCAGAACAAAAATGTTAGTTATGACGTGATGCTTCAGTGCTCTCCTACTCGCTGTGAGATCGGTGGACTGAGATCAAAAGTCTCCTGCGGTTACATCTGCTCTTCTTCTCTGTTCAGTCAATCTTTATCTATTTTGTGATAATCAGCCAATAAAGACGATGAATTATCTAAAAAGCGCCAAATATCGGCGTCAATAATTGGTCGAGGGGATAGTCACTAAGTAGAGGGAAAGGAAAGGAATAGTGGAGGGGGCTAGGGAACAGGAACAGAGGGAAGGAAAGGGGTAGTAGGGAGGATGAAGGAGGCAGAAAGGGTGAGAAGGTGGAAAAAAGGGGGAACAAGCAGCAGCTTCCTCCACCTTCCTGTCACAGTTCTTCTTCCAGCAACCAGCTCCAGAAGTAGTTCTTCTTCTTCTTCTTTTCTTGCTGCGTTTGTTCTTCTGTCTCCTCCTTGAACTTTTCCGTTTGTTTTTTCTCTCTCTTTTAGTCTTTGCTCGTCGTTTTTTTTAAGCAAATCTCCTGCAGCTCCTTGTTCTTCTCTTCTAACACTTTAATTTTCTCCTGCAGATCTCGTTC